CTGTATTTGATTGTGTTTATCTGCAGTTAGTTACACGAATTCAGATATGGGATGAAATCGGATAGGGATGAACGGGTTTAAGAGTTTTTAAGATTTTAAGAGTTTTAAGAGTTTAAGAGTTTTAAGAGTTTTTAAGAGTTTTAGCCAAATGCTTTATAATATAGTATATATATATATATATATATATATAATATGTAGAAATTGTTATAATTAAGTCAATTCTCTAAGTCAAAAATCATTCATTGATGATTATGTCCCATTAAGTTTGCGTGTATATTATATAGAGATATCTAAGATCATTTAAGAATAAGGATTATGGTGAGAAATTTGAGAATAAAACCATCGTTTATTTTCACTGACCTAATTATGTCATTATGATTGAAAGTTTGTGAAGGTAAGTGAAAGTAAAGATGAACATAGGTCTTTGTTTTTAGTCAGCCATCAACTCAAGGATTCTTAGTTTTTTTTACGTTACATAGTAAAATCAACTCTTCTAATTATTTATATAAGCTTAAATATATATATATATATATATATATATATATGTATATATATATAGAGAGAGAGAGAGATGAGTTATTATGCAACTCTTTACATTTATACAACCAATACAACTCAATCTCAACCGTCCATTTAATTCGATGAATACGTGATATCATAAGAGTTTTGATTGTTTAATAATATAAAGTATTGATCATAATTAATGAACCCTATTAATCTTTCATAAATATTCAAATCATAATAAATGAACTTTCATCATTTTCATAAATATCTCAATTAATTGGGTCGCATTGGTAGTACACAATGTGAAAAGTTGCATTTGAAAGGTCCTCTCTCTCTCTCTCTCTCTATATATATATATATAGTCAAATGTTATTTTGAAAAGTAAATAATTGATCTTAGCTTTTCATACGATCAAAATCGGATTTGACTGGTCAATAATTACGGCTTTGACTGATCAATGGTTACAACTATGCAATAAATAGAGAGGGTAGTTTCATAAATTTTATAAATATGCGAGAAACAAGTTTTATAAACCTATGTCATTCACATATAAACTATATTTTCATATGTGAACTCGTGTAATTTAAATATGAACTATTTTAACTGATTCACATATGAACCTCTGTAATTCACAAATAAACTAATTAATTGATGTACATATGAACGAATTAACTGATTCATATATAAACTTGTGGGATTATATATGAATTAGTTAAAGTTCACATGTGAACTAATTAACGGGTTTGCATATAAACATATAGTTCATATGTGTATCACAGGTTCACATATAAATCCGTTTGCTGTCTATTTGTAAAAGTTATGAAATTATTCTTCTATCTTCCGCATACCCATGCGAATAATTATCCAGTGCTTCATGATCAAAGCCGCAAATGTTGACAAAATGAAGAATAAGATCACTTCATTTACTTCTTAAATATTTGTCATTTCTTAAATCAATCTTTCCATGTATATATATACACACACATATATATATATACATATATATATATATATATATATGATTGGGTTCATATCAGACCAGCTTGTTTTACCGCGAAAGTAAAAAAAATCTGAATCTTCACATTAAAACACTATGAATGTAACCTTCATAATGTTTTATTTCGAAGTTTCAAATGTAAAAATGTGGTCTCACAGGTTTCACGAAAACATGTTGGTCTCACATAATTCCAACTCTTTCTCTCTCTATAGAAGCAAGGACACTTTCATAAATAAGTAGAATTGCATTGGCATGGCTGTAAAGGTGACAACACCGGCACATACCTTCATTAACTCATACATTCACTAGTACACCTTCATAAGAAAAATATTGAAACTACACATACTTTCACATAAAAACACTAGACTTGCACATAGTTTCACTAAACTTCACATACCTCTACAAAAATCGATCAGATCATGACTGGATGCGGAAAGCTTAAGGACGAATTGCACATCATTTACAAAAAAAAAAAATGTGTGCGATCAACTCCATCCAATCAAAAGAAATCAACGGCTCCAAAGGTATTCTCACGAAAAGGAGAACCTTTCCCTGTAACCCAACCATCCATATGTATATATAACGTGTTTTAATGTAATTCTTATAAAGTACTTTCATAACATTTATTTTCAATGCTACAGATTTGATATCTTATGATGATGCCTAAAAAGTAGAAGCTACTTATTAAAGATAAACATCAAGCATAATCATCCATAAGGATAAGACATTTGCAATTCTAGAGGACTTTTAAGGTTTAGGGTTTTAAAATTAGGAACTTCTCAATTAAGATGGGGTTTTTAAATTAGGAACCTCCCAATTAAGACAGGGTTTTAAAATTAGGAACTTCCCAATTAAGACAGGGTTTTAATATTAGGCATTTCCCATTATGTTTAGGGTTTTAAAATCAAGAACTTCCAATTAAGATACGAGCCATAAAGAAGGGTCTAAGATTTCTTTTCTTTCACGACTTTTGTTCAAAAAATTTGTACCATGAAATAAAGATCTCCTTCTACAAGTAAAAGTAACCTCAATCAGTCAAATCACATAAATATTTGTGACGTATATCTTTTATCACTTCGATATCATTTATTATCAATTAGTACTTAATATAATATAAAAACAGTAAAATTAATTTAAATACTCATTTCTAAGTAAAAGTACCCATTGATGATAAATTACCAAATGAGCCGTAAAGAGTGATTTTATTGAATGATCATTTTAGGGAAATTTAGAAATATAACCAGGGTTTTACTTTTTAGTCATTTTGAGACTTGTTTCACTTTGTAGTGTATCCTTATGTAGATGATTACATATGCGTAAGTATTGGTTTTTGGATAAAAAAGGTGGAACCCGTATGCGAAAAGTAGAATCCATTCGCGAAAAGTGGAACCCTTTTGTAGAAAATAGAATTCTTCGTAAACATTGGCTAAAAACTGAACTGGAGTCCAAAAATGACTATAAAGTATATATAATTTAGGAGATCGGAATTTCCCCCAATTTAGGATGTCTCCTAAGTATTTAAAGTGGGATCGACTGGTAATGTTCCTAAAGGTTCATGCATTTTCTTGAAGTGGCATTACTTAACATGGGGTTTTCCGTCAAAAAACATTTCTGCTGGATTTTCGGGTAGTGAAATATTCGTTGAAAACACTATTTTGAATCAACTAGGGAATAAGCAGAGACATGCTCTCCATACTTTTAGGTAAAATTGGTTTGGTAGTCACCCTGTCGTTCAAAAATACTACAAATGATCTCAACTAAAATAATACAAATTCCTTATAAATGATTGATCATATCTATACTATATTATAAGACTTTTGACAAAAACTCTCAAAAATCATTTTTTTATACATTAAGTACTGTTTATTGATGAATATTACTTAAAATTCAAGATCACACAAAATTATGCGTATGTACAACTTATTAAAGCTTCATGTTTGAATTCGTGTAAGTAACTGTGGATAAACATAATCAAATACTGGATAGATATCTCATTTTAAATATAAAAAATCTAAAATATATTTAGGATAATTATTGAATTCTAACAAATTACTAATTATTATCTCTATAAAACAATTATCAAACCAAAAATAAATGACTTTATTATTAAATCTAAATTAAACTATAATAAAAAATTAAATTAAAGAAATTATACAAAAAACATAAAAAAATTTAGATATTTAATCTGATATTAAAATTGATACGTTTTTTTTTAAAATTTTATGATACCTTCAAATTTATATTTTATTTAAAAAATAAAAACATTATCGTTTATTAATACCACAGAAGATCATATTATAACATTGGCTGAAACAGAATAAAACGAAACATTAAAATCGAGACGTATTTCGCTGCATTGTATAAGTATCCTTCTAGTTAAATAATATAAATGTTCCCAATGAATTTTGGTAAATAATGATAAACTCCTAACAAATTTCAACTTTTTGATTGGGTAATTATCAATATTTACATTCTATCTCTAAATAGGCATACATCTATAAACTATATACGGATTCACTCACGAATTTC